TATATATATATGTATGTCTATCCATATGGTTGCAACCGTCTGCTGAATGGCTCTCTGGAAATGTGAAATTTTAACAAAAATCAAATTACTTGACAAATGAGATGAAAAGAAATATATTATATATAACATAAAGTTGTTTTGTTCACTTATTATTAAATCTACAAAGACAGTGTTATATTCAATTTTCGTATTAAATTCTTTTCATTTCGTATAGCAAGAATAAATTTGTACGTAATTTCAGTATGGAAATTCTTTATAATAACAGAAATAAAGCAGAAACTTTAATTATAAATTGATCAAATTGCAGTTAAATAGTAATTGGTTGAATATCGTGAGTTATTGGAAAATTGCCCCTTTTTTCAAGTTTCCCCACTTGAGTTGAGCCCAATTCGATACAGTTTGTTGAGTGTCTAACAAACTATGAGGTATTCAGCTGGAAGTGCTTGCCAGTATTCATATTTAGATATCCGTCCCTCCGCCCCCTCCCTTGGCGTACTCATTGTTGTTGAGAGCACACGCGGCGCGGCTTTTGATTTACGTTGCTGCTGGCAACGTTGCTTCAGTACCTTCAGATGCTTTGCCATTGCCATTGCCTTTGCCTTTGCCCCCTTCTTCGTGCCGCCTCTTGACGCTCGGTTGCACAGTCATCTCGTTGGGATGCCAACATCGACGTCTTGAGCTTTGGCACCGACCAAAATGATTCTGCCCAGTGCCTAAAAATATGAAACTCTCAACGTTGCCAGGACAATTTTACACTGTCTGCGTATGTGTGTGTGTGTGTGTGCATGTTGAATGATGTGAAAGACGACGTCTCCCGCTGCTAGCTCTGGGCAGCTGTAAACGGTCGCCAGTTGCGCTTGTTAAATTCTTCTTAGGCTTTGTTTGGCTGTCGATAATGGCGGCAATGTCCACACTCACACACACACACATACACGCACGCACATAAATATATACATATGTATTGCTGAGCGGGACAGAGGAGGAGCAGTCATGGCTTTGGCCTTCTCCCATGCTTCAATTCCAATCGCTGACAACGTCTCGAACAGCTTCTTTGATGCTTATGCTCGTTTATCCTACGCCTTCGCTATGCTATGCTTCCTGCTGTTGCCGCCGTTCTATCCGTAATTCCTCATTTTACTGTGTTTCTTTTCGTTTTTTTTTTCTCGTGTGTTCTTTGTGTCTGCCCGACCGTGCCGCCTCCGCGCAAGCTCCCATTCCATGCGCGCTAGCTCCATTTTTGCCCTATGCAAATTAATGTTGCCTCCTGCCTCCTGCCGTCTGCCTGCTGCATGTGGCTCAGTAGTTGTAGCAGGACAATCCATGGTGGTGGTATTATGTAAATTTTTCGCCTCTTTGTTGTTGATTTTTCATTTCATTTTCTAAACAATGTACATATACACATACATATATAAAAGTCGCTGCCACAAGCGCAACATCAACAGCAACAATGTGAGCAACAGCAACAACGAAAACAAAAACAAAGTTGAACTTTTAATTGGAAAACTACTTCAGGCACGGCTAGTTAAACATTTTTAAAACAGATTTCAATAATCGCTAGCACCTGCATCAAACAGCTTTTATTATTATTTTATTTATTTATTTTTTTAT